TGCTCAGTAGATTGCCATAATGAGTCATAAGTTTTGCATGTTGAAAATTGTGTCTAACTGTCTGCTTGTTTTGAAGAATGAGGAATGGTATGTTACTATATTCCACAATATAGTCCCTCCAGTGGCTTCTGGAGAGTGGAGAAGAGTTTTTTTTCTTCTTCGATCATTCTGTAACTGTAGAAACCGACTGTTATACTGCTAAACAAAACTTTATCCCAACTAACAGGAAAATCTGGCAAGGTTCTCTCAAAATTATGAACAAATGTTCTTCGTCTTCAATAATATTCTCAAAACAATAGCGCAAAAACTTTAATACATTTTTCATGTTTTTTTTTCTGAAATGTTTTGGTTCGAAACTCATTTAATGTTTTTTTTTATGTTACTACTTGTTTCAGAATGTTCAGAGAACATTCAAAAGTAATGATCCCATAATGTTTGTAAAATAATGAAGTGGAAATTTCCCTTAATGTTAGAATAACCAAGAAGAAATATTTTTAGAACATTCTTAAAGCTGTAATTTTTTAATGTTCAGAGAACATCCAGAAATAATGTTTTTATAACATAATGGGAACATTAGCAAAACGTTCTTAGAACATATTTCTGTTAGGTGCTATCTTGAGCGAACGGTAACAGTATACTCTTCCAAACTGTCAAAAGGTCGATAACTTTTAGATTTAGAATATAGAAAATAGGAGATCAACTTGCTTTGTAATACTATTGTGATGGGCTTTAAAATGAAAATAAATGAGATTTGTGTCTGTGTACATTTATGGAACATTGAAGTGCTTTGTGTGGTCGATGTGCCTCTTTTTATAGTGTATGTTGATAGGGCTGCCGTGAGCATCATGTTACAACAAACATTAGTGATGGCCTCGCAAGACTATTGAACCCAAGTTCCCTGACATTCATAAATGAACAGAACTCAAAATATGTTGACCTTTTCAAGCCTGTTCTGGAACTGCTTGGTCCACAGCAGGATTTCTCCTTATCTTCCAACACAGTTAACTGTGAGGTCATTTAAAGCCCCACTCTGTTGCCCCCCACGATCTCCTGCATTCCACACCTTTGTATGTTTCTCATGCACTGCAGGATGATTGTTCCACAAACAAACCTGCCCCCTTCTAAACTCCTCTTTGGCCTTCCACCCTGATTACATTATTAAGTATATAGCACAGCAGCTCTGCTCCAAAACCTACATACAGTACAGTAGGCCAACTGTCTTCTAAGGCAGCACCCTAACCATCAGGGAACCTCGCAAGTGACTGATTTGGACATTGAACATTGAGTTCAACAAATCACAAAATAGCACATTGTGCATGAGACCACACTGATTTCAGTAGAGTTTGACATTGCAATGTTTTTGAACAACTTTTCAAATTTTGATTTCATTTCCAGCAAAACTTTAGTACTGTAATTAAATTAAAACTTATAACTGACATTTCTAACAATTCACCCACCATCTTGAAGTTTGTTGCTATGCATGCTGGGTTGCCTACTACACCATGAATGAATGCAGTTCTGTATTATAATTAGTCTAAAATGAGGTAAGTAAAGCTTACTTAGCTCACTATGTTTTTAATCAGCACAAATATTAACTGAAAGTCGTAGTGTTTTATGTCACCTATTAGGTGTATGCAAAATGAAATGTTCTTCTAACATGTTGTGACGTTGAAGATCTGCACTCTGTCACTCTGTGAAAATCCATCAATTTAGAGGTCTCAATTAAATTAGTTCATTCACTCAGCATTAGTGTCCTCTAAGTGTCTTGCCCAGTAAATAGATGATGACTTAGAGCAGAAAATATGAGTGAGTGTAAAGAGAAAAAAAAGCATTTACAGTACTGATCTATTAAAGCTCATACTACATATAAGTAGTACAATTATATATTTTTACTCATTTACATGTATTTTTTATACAACACATTACTGTTCAAAGGTTTTTGGTCAGAAAGTAAATAAATACATTTATTCAGCAAGGATACATTTCATTGATTTTAATGCTGTATATGTTACGTATCCGGTCCATGAACTTCCGTCTGCTAGCCATCAGAGGTCACCCTTTCCATTTTCATTGACTCTCGCACTACACCCTGTTGCATATCACCCCGGACTACATATCCCATCATTCATTGCACTGATTGCACACAGTACTGATTGCACACAGCTGTTTCACTGATTGCACACAGCACTGATTGCACACTGCGGTTTCATATCACTCACTCCCGATTTAACACTCACTCTTATCCCTTCCCTCTGCCGAGTATTGTTTAGCATTTATCGCTCACCTAGGGATAGCTACATTACGGAGCCTGCTCTATCTTTTCCCAGTATTTCTTAGTCTTGCCTGTTTTTCCCCGTGTTTTGATTCTCGCCTGTGTCTTTCGGATTACCCCCTTCGTCTTGCCGTTTGGACTCTGCTTGCCCCTGACTGGATTATTGCCGTGTACCGGGATTATCTCTCTTTGCCTTGCCCTGTTGGATATTGTTCACCGTTGATCGACCCATGCCCGTTTACTGGACTGCTCTTACGTTTTGCCCGTACTATATCTGTTCGCTGGTGTTTCGACCCTCCCTGTGTTTGTTACCACGTCTTTTAAATAAAAGCTTGCACATGGATCCGCATGTCTCACGTCTTGTCAGCCCCGTAACAGTATGACAGTAAAGACATTTATAATGCTACGAAAGATTTCTATTTCAAATAAAAGCTGTTCTTTTGAATTTCCTACTCTCACTATTCCTCAAAGAATCCTGAAAGAAAAAGTATCACAGTTTCCACAAGAATATTAAGCAAAGTCTTCAACATTTCTTCAACGTTTCCTGACCAGCAAATCAGCATATTAGAATGATTTCTGAAGGATCACGTGACACTGAAGACTGGAGTGATGACTGCTGAAAATTCATCTTTCCCATCACAGGAATAAATTGTACTTTTAATTTTTTTTTAAATTGAAGACTGTTACATTAAATTGTAATTATGTCTCAATATTACTGCTTTTACTCTATTTTAATTAAATAAATGCAGCCATGGTGAGCATAAGAGACTTCTTTTGAAAAATGCTAAAAATGTTACTGAACTCAAACCTTTGAATGGTAGTGTATAATAAATTAAAAACAAGCTAAATGGCTGAATTCATGGCCTTTGATAATGCTAAAATATTTAGTATTTTACTATGTACTTAGTATTTACGTCTTGTCAGCCCCGTAACAGTATGACAGTAAAGACATTTATAATGCTACGAAAGATTTCTATTTCAAATAAAAGCTGTTCTTTTGAATTTCCTACTCTCACTATTCCTCAAAGAATCCTGAAAGAAAAAGTATCACAGTTTCCACAAGAATATTAAGCAAAGTCTTCAACATTTCTTCAACGTTTCCTGACCAGCAAATCAGCATATTAGAATGATTTCTGAAGGATCACGTGACACTGAAGACTGGAGTGATGACTGCTGAAAATTCATCTTTCCCATCACAGGAATAAATTGTACTTTTAATTTTTTTTTTAATTGAAGACTGTTACATTAAATTGTAATTATGTCTCAATATTACTGCTTTTACTCAATTTGAATTAAATAAATGCAGCCATGGTGAGCATAAGAGACTTCTTTTGAAAAATGCTAAAAATGTTACTGAACTCAAACCTTTGAATGGTAGTGTATAATAAATTAAAAACAAGCTAAATGGCTGAATTCATGGCCGTTGATAATGCTAAAATATTTAGTATTTTACTATGTACTTAGTATTTATTAGATGTGATAGCAAACTATACACGTATTTAAAATGTGACACGATTAACTAAACATTATTTACTATAGACTAATGATTGCATACATTTTAGGGTTTTAAAAATGATTATTATTATTATTTTTACAGGTTTGTATATATTAGGCCTCATTGTAGGGCATGACAACCATGCCAACAAAAGAACTAAGTTTATTTTAAATATTTATTTTGAACGATTTATGCATCTATAATTTATTGACCCGATTCTAATACAGTCATGCTGTTCATGCAGGATGTCTCTCAGAATAGAGGGGGCCCAGTGTGGTGGTGTTGCTGTGGAGTTTGATAATAATAATGACAGAGATTCACCCGTGATCAAAGCCAGGAATATACCACGTATGTTTCTTCAAACTAACTCAAACTATTTTGACTGCTTCATGCATAGAGGGAAGTGGTTTAATACTTCAAACTAGTCAATATCTGTTGTATTTCGACGTGATTAATTATGCCATAATTAGCCAATTTTCTTGACAGAATATGCAAGGAACAGTTTACACAAATTTGAAAACTGAGTCAATATTTAGTGAACATTCTAAGTCATTCCAAAGCGCTTGAATTTCTTTCGTGGAACACTAGAGGAACGTCATGCTTTTCCATGACACCCAAGTAATTCCAGAGTTATGCATTATTGTTTTGTTACAAACGGATTTAAGTAATTATTGTGAATCAACCAAGCTTTTCATGTTCTTGCCAGTTCATGAGAACAGTAGGAATGTCTGATTCACTAATGAATCATTAGAGTTGAGTTTTTCAGACTTCGTTTAACTGGTTCACAAAATAGAATGATTTCGAATCAGAGAGATCCGGATCTTGAGTTTACAGTTTATGAGACTAAACTAAAATCCTCAGTCCCCCTTCATCATAACTGCATGGAGCGACCAGCACAAACCTTCATAATTTTTACTTTAGTGCTCCGTGGGGAAAACAAAACAAAACATGGGTTTAGAGAGTAAATTGCATTTTTGGGTGAACAATCCTTTTAAATTTTAAAGTAAGGCTTAGAGTGATTAAAATAGAGAAACATTCATCTGCTATTTTAGAAGATGCTAAGCCTGCTTGTTCTTGCTGTCTGGATTTAAACAGTCGATTATTCTAAAACAAATGCACATTCAAGAAATAAATCTTTCGAGACTCTTCTCATCTACCTCAAGGGCCCAGAGTTCCTCATCTATGTGAGCGGAGCGTTATCTATGTGGGTAAGGAGCCGCTTTCGTATCTACCATGCTGGCACTCAGTAAGCAGGGCATGAGCTCTGGCACACAGGTTTTTTCATAATACTTTGAGTACCACACAAAAGATGTGAAGTATGATATCTTGAGCCGATCATCTCTTTCGCGTGCCAGGGTGATCGCATGTGGCATTTCGCCATGTCTGTCTTCCTGATTGAGCTGTATGGGCATAACCTGCTGTTAACTGGCATCTTTGGACTGGTGGTGGCCGGATCGGTGCTCTTATTAGGGGCTTTGATTGGAGACTGGGTTGACCGCAACCCAAGAAACAAAGGTGAAAGATGCATTATGTGGTGCATTTATGGTTAAAAAAAAGATATGTCATGTGTTTTTTTGCAATGTTATTATTATTATTTGCATTATATATCATTAATTTGCACCTCCCATATTCTCCTTACTGTAATTATTATTTAAAATATTGAATATTTCACCATTTTAGTTATTGTCATTTAAATAGTCAAAATTTTTTAGCTATTTATATATCATGGTATTGATTGTTGTGCTGTCTTTGATTTATGCAGATGTTTAATTTAAAAATATATATATTTTTTCTTAATATATTAAATCCTTAATGTCAAGATTAAAACATCCAAACTGATCACATTAACGAGAATTGTCATGAAACAATTGACAAAAAAAAAATAATAATAATAACAATGACAACAACTATAATAATAATAATAATAATAATAATAATAAAGGTCCTTAGGCTATACATTTTTTTTTTATTCTTTTGATTTTGAGGAGAAACGACAGAAGCATTTTTTTCAAGTGATAGTATTTTTTCGTTTATTTTAAGTATCATAATTCCCTTTCTATCCATCTCGACAGTGGCCCATGCATCCCTATTTATTCAGAATATCTCAGTGACTGTCTGCAGCATCGTGCTCATGTTGGTATTCTCATACAAAAAGCGGATTGAGCAAATCTGGGATGGGTGGCTAACTGTAAGTCCCTCTTACATTGTTTGTACCCTTAAAATGTGTTATTATTATGCCTATTCAGAATGCAATCATGTGTTCAGAGTAGCACTGTGTGTCTTCCGTCTCTGACTAGTCATTGCTGAACATAAGCATGTCTGCTGTAATGGCAAAGCATAGATAGTAACTGGTTGCATCACACAACTCACACAAGGTGGTTTGTTATATGGTGGTGATCGTCCTGGCAAATGTGGCGAACCTAGCCAGCACAGCTCTCACCATTGCCATCCAGAGGGACTGGATAGTGGTGATCACAGGCTACAACCGTGGACATCTCGCAGGTATGACCTTTATTGACCTTTATTTCAGTTAGCATAATGCTAATCTGCGCTAATGCTAATTGAAAATCATATATAAGTGTTATCAGTCTAATGCATTAGATATATTGCTTGCAAATACACTGTAATTTCTTATCTCTGTTTCAAAACCAAGTAATTCATGGCCTTGGCTAATGCTTACACAGGCAGCTTTCTAACCATCATGGAACCTCATAGGTGACCGATTTAGAAACTCTACATGGCAGCAATTCCACATGGTGCACAAAAAAAAAACAGAAGAAAAAAAAAGTCCATTGATTTCAGTAGAGTTTGATGTTAGCATGTTGCTAAACTAACAGTGCAATACTCTAATAAGCCTACAACTGCAGTGCATACAAAAATATTCTTCAAAAACATTTAGAGTTTTGATTACCTACTGATACAGGAATGAATGCTACAATGAGGCGGATCGATCAGGTGACCAACATCCTGGCTCCACTGGCAGTGGGTCAGGTAATGACCCTGTCCTCTAATGTGGTTGGCTGTGGCTTCATCTTAGGATGGAATCTGGTGTCCCTCATTGTAGAGTTCATCTTCCTCTCCAGAGTCTACCGGATCGTACCAGCACTGTCTATCAAACCACCAGCTATGGAACATCAAAGCTATTTAGAGAAGAAAAGAGAAAGAAAACGCTCACAAGGTAAAACCTACATTTTTGAAATAACCAGATGTATGATGTTTAGACCCATGTTTGATATATAATATATGTTTAAAGTTACACTCAGTAGTTTGGTATATATTTTTAGTCGATATTGCAGATATCGCCTTATACTGACACCTGATGGGCTGGATATAGCACATTACAGAAGTTTTCAGTTAGCGATTCATTTGTAAAAATATTCCCTATTCAGAACTGAATTTTTTCTTTAAAAACCTCAAATTTGAAGGTTTATAGGCCTTATGGACAGAAAAACAACAAAACAATAGATAGAATTACAAATAGAATTATAGATAGATAGATAGATAGATAGATAGATAGATAGATAGATAGATAGATAGATAGATAGATAGATAGATAGATAGATAGATAGATAGATAGAGGGCAAACTATAGAACAACAGAAAGATAGAAACAACAAACGATAGAACACAATAAACAGGAAGATAGATAGATAGATAGATAGATAGATAGATAGATAGATAGATAGATAGATAGATAGATAGATAGATAGATAGATAGATAGATAGATAGATAGATAGATAGATAGATAGAGGGCAAACTATAGAACAACAGAAAGATAGAAAGAAAAGACAAAGATATGAAGAATAGATATAAACAACAAACGATAGGACACAATAGACAGGACGATAGATAGATAGATAGATAGATAGATAGATAGATAGATAGATAGATAGATAGATAGATAGATAGATAGATAGATAGATAGATAGATAGATAGATAGATAGATAGATAGATAGAG